CTCTCTCTTTCTCTCTCTCTCTCTCTCCCCCCCCCTCGCTTTCTCTTCATGCCTGTGTTTTAGTGCGTACTCTTTTTCAGTGTTTTTGCTCGTTTGATCTTGTGTGATGTAGGTACATGGAGAGTGTACCACTAATCGTTCCATTGCTAGATAGAGAATACCGAATTGCACAAGCGAGATTGAGTGCGGTTGTGCAGGAGCTGAGGTGTGACATTTGCCACATACTTTTCCCGTTTCCTGAATCCTCGTCGTGTTTGCAGCTTTCAAGGACATTGACTGTTTTGCAATTGGATCAAGAGTCTTTTGATGCATCATTCATTTGATTCACTACTTGTTTCAAAAACAACACATTTTAAGATGCGGTGTGCCACTGTTTGGTCTCTTCCCATATGCATGAACTCGTGTGTGTGTGCAGAGTGTAAGGAGTAACTTTGGTGTGTCACTGGTCTCAAAATCTGAATTCACCGTGGAAGCAGTGGCACACCATTATCTTCTTTCTTTTTCTTCCTTCCTTTCTTTTCCCCTCTTGAAATGGCGACGGCCTTGAGATATCATCATCGAACTGACCGTCCCTAGGTAATCCGGAATCATTTTATGTAATTCATCTGCTTCCAGTGGAGTTTGAGCTCGGGTCTGGATTTCTATAGTTCTGGAGTGCACCAACTGAGCTAGGCCAGTTGGTAAGACACACCACATTCTTTTTTTTCCTTTTTTCCCTTAAATTGGGTTGTCCTACCTTCTTCGCCCAAATAGAACGCCCGGTCATTATCGCTGTATTTGGGGCAACGTTCAGTCTAGTAGATACAGCGATAATGACCAGGCTTTCTAATGGGCGAGGATGATAATTACTTCTTTCAGGGATCAAGGGTCTGTGATTTGAACTGCAAGCATAGGGTGCAGATCTGGCATCTGCTAGAGTATTTATGGAATGGCCTTGGTCTTTTTGTTATGGTTTTGTTGAACTTAAGATAATTTTGGCATTATCGCTCATGCAAGCTTGATTGGAAGCGAATCACAATTGATGGGGAACTTCACACTGCAGTTGTATTGGTCCACTTGGGTGTCTCGCTGCCCTGGGCAACCTATAGCAATCTGCACTCAAAATGAGGGAGTAAAGTGTGAGTTTGAACTCACGCAGAACCTCTGTTTCATGTACTAAAAATAGCACTGGAAGTCTGGAACGATTCCTGCTACACTCTCCGTGTACCTACATGATACCAGATCAAAAGAGCAAAAACACTGAAAAAGACGAGCAAAAACAGTGGAAAAGAGTAAGTGCTAAAACACAGGTAGAGAGAGAGAGAGAGA